CATCTTTTCTTAAAAAAATATTTTTTTTTGGAAAAAAAAAAGTTAGCCCAAATGAAAAAAAAAAAAAAAAAAAAAAAAAAAAAACACTTAATACGAGCTTGATAAGTTCCATTTTGTTTTTGTTTTGTTTTTTTGTTGTTTTCAAGGGCAGTTTTATTTACAGAGACTTCACAATCCACTTTATTTATGGTTCCTGTTAATAACAACTCTTCAATAACTCTTTTGTTTACGTGGCTCTCCACAGGAGCACGTCATGGCCCTGAGGAGCTGAGAGCGGTGCTAGCTTGTTCTACATTTGTCGGGGTGTTTCCACAGTTGGGTAGTTGCTTGTGAAGACTGGGGGGGCCCGGTCAGAGAGTGGACAGGGAGGGGGCAGAGCTCAGCTGGAGCCAATGCAGCAGCACCAACTAGCGGAGGGAAACCTTCCTGTGTTCGTGTTCCCAACCGAGCTCGTCTTCTACGCGGATGAGCAGTCGTCTCATAAGCAGGTGCTCACCCTCTACAAGCCCTATGAGTTCGCGCTCAAATTCAAAGGTAGGGGGAAAATAGTCAAGATATATATATATATATATATATATATATATATATATATATATATATATATATATATATATATATATATACACACACAATTTTTTTGGCGTATGAAATTATTGAAAATTTTATTTTTAATGATATATATATAAATATATATATATATATATATATATTTCAATTTTCAGTGCTGTGCACAGCGCCAAACAAGTACACTGTGGTTGATTCCACGGGAGCCGTCAAGCCACAGTGTTGCGTTGACATGTAAGTGTAAACTCCTCACGCTCGCATCTTTTCATCCCTTATTTCTATTACGTCAAGCAAAAACAAAAAGAATAAATAAGACAATTAAGTCAAATTCTTATACATCTACGCAGAGTAATCCGACACAGAGACGTCCGGCCGTGCCACTATGGCGTGTACGACAAGTTCCGACTGCAGGTGTCGGAGCAAAGTCAGCGGAAAGCGCTGGGTCGCAAAGAGGTGACCGCCACGCTCCGTCCATCGGCCTCGCAGGAGCCGTCCAGCGCCAGGACCCAAGACGAGGAGCGCCGGATGAAGGAGCAGTTTGCGGACAGCGAGTTTTTTGAGCAGACTGCGTTTCAGACAGGTAAGCGGCAGTTGCGATGTACCACCACTAGATGGAGCCAAAGAACAACGAAACCACTTCTTAGTGTTTTCAATCTGAGGGCATGAAAAACATTTTTGTAACAAGTTTTTTAAAACATGTAGTCATCAAAGAATGTTTCACACATCCACTCAGACTTTGAAATATGTATGGGAGAAATTAATACCACATATTGAGTAAATGCTGATATAATATCAAGGGTGCAATGGATTTTATTTAGAAAGAAATGCAACTTTATCCCAACCTCTCAGCCTCATCTGTCTCTGATGTCCCTGTCTCTGTCTTTGAACTGTGTATTTCAACAATGAACTTTTGCTCAAAGACAAAAATGTTGTCTATGATTCCAAGCATAAAGGCAACGTTGAACTGATACACAAACCTACATAGAAGTCTGTCTGTGAAAATAAGGAATAGGAGCACAAAAATAAAGCTACCACACTGAAGAAATCTTTTTCACCTTTCGGATATCTGATGTTTTTGCTTTCTTCAATGTTCTAAATCCTCGGATTGTACAAATGTGCAAAATTATTTTGTCTGCTGTTTAATAATATTTCGGAGCTGCAGAACATTTCTAAAGTCGTCATAATCTTCAATATTCCAAGTAAATTGTGGCAAGTGATGCATGGTATTCATTCGGCTGCTGCTTCCTGTATTCACAGAGAGCCGTCCCGTTGCTGGAGGACCCAGTCTGCTCACAGTGCTGCTGGGACTCGTGTGCATGATCGCCCTGATGCTTCCAACGCTGGGGGAGCAAGAATCCACTGTGCCTGTCTACCTCCACTTAAGTGTTAACAAGAAACTGGTAGCTGCTTATGTTCTTGGTAAGGCTGGAAAAAACTCACCAAGTCAGAGAAATTGATATAAACAGATATTTTTTTCTGAAAAATGAGTTGAAGTACAGATCTTAAGTACAGAGTACGCACAAAGACTGAGATTCCCGTAATGCTAACAGCGCTAACTATGGTTAGCTACTGCAAATGCCAGTCAACTTTACCATCATTTTGTCTTTGTTTTAAAAATTGCTCACAATAAGGGGAGAAATACATCTTTTTAAGTTTTTATATATCGGTCTGTCATGATAAATTTTCCAAGGCGATAAATTGTCCCAGTAATTATTTCGATAAGCGATAATGTTATTGGTTTGAGACCATTTTCAAGTAATATGTTGATAATGACATATCAGTGTAAGTTCGCTCTCTCAAAGACTGTTAAACTTTAATTTTGCAAAAATAAAACAGACAAAACACACTTAATACTGGACATGGAAGATATTTTAATTAAAACACAACCAAAATGAAAACAGAAATAACACACACAACCAAAGTGATAAGTAAAATGGATTATGTCTTTATAAACAAAAGGGCCCTTAAAAAATTTAAATCACCCTGATGTAAGCTCATTTTATCAATCAATCAATCAATCAATCAATCAAATTTTATTTGTATAGCGCATTTCAGCAGCAAGGCATTTCAAAGTGCTTTACATAATTAAAATAAAAACAGCATGTGAGAAAGAGTTAAAAAAAAAAAAACATCATTAAAACGCAAACAGGGAGAAAGAGAAATAAAAAGCTGTCTCCAACCCTCTTGACTTTAGTCAAACGCCGTTTGACAAGGACTTTAACCTCTCGGACTTTAGTCAAAACGTATTTATCATCCAATTAATTTATTCATTGCTTACTGTAACACGTCTATACATACATTACAGTTCTTGAAGAGAAACTAAAGAGTCTAATCAGTGCATCTCTACTTTGCCTCGTGTGAAAAAGAAAAAAATAATTTTTTCTAAGTGTTGCAGTAAACAGTCATTTTTCTGTTTATTTTTCAGGACTTCTGACTATGGTCATCCTACGTACATGAAGTGCATTGTGCTGAAAGGACGAGGATAAACAGTTTTAAACGATGAAGAGAACATTGTCGAACCAGAGGCACGACTTCAACAAGCAGAGCTCTCAGCGCTCTGGTGGAGCTCCATAACTCCATCCGCTGACAAACACATTTTAGTACATTGGTTTCAAATACATAATGTTTTCTGGGCTGTTACAAAAAAATAAAATAAAATGGGAAGATCTACGGGAACTCTTGCTGAGCGGAACCGCCTCCAAACCTCGGCCAGGGAAGAGACATGAGGCGCTTCAACTTCGCCTGGACCGTCATGCATTCTTCGTAATTTTATTGCCATTGTGTGACTCAATGTGGTTAACTTGAGTGTGAAGAAATCTACATGCAAACGTGTATATAAAGCCATTAAAACGTCATGATATGCTCCTGTAACTGTCGTCATATTGATGTTTTGAAGCTTTCATAGCACAAGACTGAAGACAACGCATTCAAGTGCATGTGGCTGCTTTTATCTCCCACATAAACCCTTGAGATACTTTTTACATTTCACCAAAGAGCTTGACGCAACATTGAAACTCATGTTTAATAAAGTCTTAATACAGCTGCTTTGTAGTGCTAGTAGTTCCAATCAAAAAGCATGATTATTCTCAAAAGTTTAACATCACATAAATCTGCACTGACTATTCAGTCCAGCAGTTGTAAAGACTAGAAAACAATCCACTTAATGGAAATGTTTACATCGACCCGTCTCTTGCAACTTTTAGTATTTCTTCTAAAACTTAATTCATCTGCTGCAGCTTTAGGTAAATAAGCTGCTTTACTAATAAATAGATCTTACATTTCAGTATTAAATATAATTCAGTATTGAAAAATTGGAACAAGAAAATGCAATCTTTAATTCAAGTACTTTTATTTACTTGGACATTTTTTTAATCCAACCATCACAAATGTTTTGTTTGCTTACCTTTGCTGGAACTGTGCGCTTTGTTCAAATGAGACAAAGGTTGGACTTCAACACTCCAGCTGGCTCGAAGTCAAATTCTGAATAAGTGGGAAAACATCCCCAATATTAAGCAAGGTGGAGGGTCTGTGATGCTGCGGGCCTGTTTCTCCTCCACAGCCTCTGTGAATCGTGTTGCGAGTGTGAGCTCATAACCTCTGAAATACCAGGTTTTGAATAAAAACCTGGTATTTCAATAAACTAAAAATGAGTCGTCATTTGGTCTTTTAGCAGATTAATGACCCAAAAATATTAACACAGAAAAAGGTTTCCATAGAAACAATAACAAGTCTTCTTTGGATCTATACTGTATTTAAAAAAAATAAAAATAAAAACCCCAGCTGCAGATGTTATGGGAGGACAATCCAGGAAAATAAAAACAAAGCATCCATTTCATGCATTAACAGTGTCAACTGTTTCATCCTGGACAGGTTACTGCAAAATATCTCTGCTGTCTGGATATGAAGCAGTTAGCATGTTGTGACAGGTCACATACCAACAGTTGTCAGTCAGAGGTTTCTTCCAAGCCAATGGAAGACTGACTGCTACAGGAAATCCTTCCTCCCCACAGTGACTCTTGATTTGAGTTGCCTTTCAATTCCTTTTGCTATATAATTCAATCAATGTGGCCAGCGATCAAAGGCGGCGTTGCACAATAAACACCAAGAAAAAAAAAGATAAATTAATTCCCAGAAAAGAATAGAGTAAAAACAAAGTCATTCAGTAGAAGATCTGACACCAAGCCTTTCTTTAAATTAAAAGGGAACACTTACATGAAATGATTTACAATCAATTCATTTTGTACATGAACATTTAAGGCGGCAGAGCAATGGAGGCTGAGGAAGCGTAAACACAGGAGAGTACGGACCGGACCCAGGAGAACCCAACAATTACCTTTTGGTGCAAAATACCACAGTGCAGGCTTGAATCTCTGCATTTTGTTTTTCCTCAGAACAAAAAAAAAAAAAAGCTTTTACATCTTTCCTGCTCAAGACTCAGACACAGGCTGGGCTTCCTGTGCAAAGCACCTAAAACATGACAGCAACAGCAGTCTCTTCATCCCAATCGGATGGTTCTGTCTTCCTTTTAGCAGTCAGTTTTATCCGATTTCAGAGAAAACCTATAAACATTCAATTATATATATATATATATATGTATATATACATATATTTTGTCTATAAATCTTTATAAATAAACACTTTGCCTGAAGAATGGGGGGTAATCTTTAACACTTTCCATATCTACAAAAACCACAAGATACACAGGAACCTCTTAGTGTTGAAAGACTACCAGAAATTAACAGGTTTCGTTCACGATTTCCTGCTAGGTGCATATCGCTCGCTCCATCTGGGTTGTTATGGTCGCAGCAAATAAGAACTAAAAATCTGCCCCCCCCCCCCCCCCAAAAAAAAGAAAGAAAAAAAAAGTCACCACAGTTCACAGTCTATAATCAAAAATATTCTGGAAATCTTCTCCAAACAGAAACAAAAGAGGAACTCTCCGTAGCTGTACCTCAGAAGGCGTGCGCCTACATTCACCTTACAGCCAAATGTAAAACTATACATATCATTACTGGATTCATATGTACATACTTACAAAACAAAGCAGGAAAACAATAAGTTAAATCTTTTCTTACACAAAAAGAAAAAAAAAAATCTGCAGACTGTGTTCATACAAAGGCATACGGGACGAAGCTTTCCAGCACTACATCAGGATCAGTCTTTTTGTCCAGTACACAGCGTCTCTCCGAGGTGATTGGGGACATGTGGGACGAAATGGCGGTAAAACCAGTAACACACCACACCACTCAGCAGCCAGGCATCACCTCAGACAGCCAAGTAGCAGCTGCCGCTCACAGTGTCTTCAGTCAGTGTCGCTCAGACGTAACCTCCGATACCCAAACGAATGCGTGGCTTTAGATTCCTCAACCTGAACCCGTCCACAGCCTCTGAGAGAGTAGCCATGACAACAGTGGTACAGAGGCAAATATGGAAACAAAACAAAACAAATAAGGTCCATGTAAACTAGAGGCAGGCCTAATTGGGATCACTTGGGTTGAGGAAGACGCCGTTTTGCCCCGAAACGCACAAGATGGTGGCCGTCGCTGCTGGTCACTTCGGAGACAAATCCTGCAGGGAGGTGAAGGGCGAGTTGCTGGACGACGAAGGGGACACGCCCTCCATCTTGCCCGGGGAGTCCGTGGAGGAGCTGATGCTGCTGAGACTCCCGTCCAGTAAATCTGGAGAATGGCTGAAAGAGAGGAAGACGACCACGTTGGCTGAAACCGAAGAAACTCCTACAGACTTGCTATGCTTTTCTACTTCCTCACAGTTCTGAAGTAGAAAGTTATTCCATCTTTAGGTGCTTTTGAGGATTATAATATATATAAAATATATGACATAAGCTGGGGGTGTCAAACTTATTTTCGTTGTGGGTCATATCAAAAATCTGAATGTTCTTAAAGGGCCGGTTGCGGCATTAAACTGTTAAAATGTTAATAAATGGCTATTTGCTTCAGCAGTCATTGTTTCCTAAAATTAAATATTGATCATCTTTTCACACTAATCAGTCCCTCCAGGATTTTATTTATTTATTTATTTTTAATCAAAATCACAGATGTTATGGTGCTAATTTATAAATACTTGTAAGGAATTTGTGTGTTTTGTGCCAATGTATGAGGCTAAATGTGACATTGTATTAATCGCCATATTGATCACAGTCTATATTAAACATTAATTTAAACATTTTTTTTTTTACCAATTTTAAGAAAAAAAAATGCAGTAAAATCAGAAGAAGTGTGGGGCGTTGTTGATTTTGTGTGAATTTTGCAAGGTTGTGAAAAACTGGAGGGATTTACTGATGTAATCTGGAGTCCAAAGGGCCACATAATAAAGCTACAGCGGGCCACATTTGGCCCCCAGGCCTCGAGTTTGACGCATGTTACATAAGCCGTTATAGAGATAAACATAAAACATGTAAAGATAACATAAATGTCAATTGAACTCACTTGTCACCAGCTTTCAAATGAGATAAAACTGGTTAAAACGCATAACATGACACTATTTATTGGTCTGATTTGTTACCAGAATTTAAAAATGCATAAAAAAAAGAGAATCTCAAACTTTTAGTGTAGTTTATTTCTATTTTCCTCCATTACCAAACCTACACTACCTGAGTCAATCTGCTGATTTCAGCTCAAACTAGTTTTAATCAAAGTTTTAATGTAATCTCCTCCAAAAGGAAGACGATTTTATTTGTTTTTGTTTCACCAAACAGCGTGGCGTCTGTCCCTTACCAGGAGCTGAGGTCTGACAGGTTGGACGCGTCAGACGACAGCATGGTGGTGGTTCCCTGGAAGAGTCTCTTAGGCTGGCTTTCCGTTTCCATCTCCCCTGTATGTTCACAAAGCTCTTTAGCTATAATGATAAAGTAGTCAACAAACCAACTACATTTAACCTCTTACAAGTCAAATCTTTTTCTAAGCAATTTTAAACTCAACACAAAACATTTATTTTTCTCTGTATGCGTCGATAAAGTTTGCCTTCGACAGAAACGGCTTTGAAAAGATCAATGTACTCTGACCCAAGTTGGAAATCATTGGAACTGCAGGGTCAAACTTGGATGGAAAGTTTTCTTCAAGTAAAACGGGTCAGAGAGCACAGGAAGCGAGTCTCACCTTTGCGCTTCATCGGGCCAAGGATGCTGGCTCTGATGCAGTTGATCGGACTTTGACTCCGTCGGCTGAAGAGAGCAGAAGCGTTAAGCAGATTTCTGACTGGCGTGTCGAAGCAGACGTTTAAGAAATGTCCAGCTTCGTTTACGCTACGGTTTCCGTCAGAAGACGCGCCATTCAAGTTATGATATTTTGAGAAATTCACTTGTCAGACAAGAGCTTTCAGAAAATGTGTGTTAAGATTTTCAGAAACAAGAACCGGATGCAAAACTTGAATTTTATGCCGGATCGATTCTAATCCATGCGGTCGAGCATTAAACTTTTAATAAAGTTTAATAACAGCGACGCTAAAGGTCGATAAATCTGCCAAATTACTCATTCTTGTTGGTCACCATCATTCAAAGCCAAAGAATATAAGACACATGATTTATTTTTGTAGTCCCCCAACTCCATTTCAAATGTAAAATTAATACTGACAATTTTCTTGCAATGGAAAATGTTAAGTACAACACGAAGTCTTTATCTTTTCAGAACCAAACTTGTATAATAAGTAGAGCCACGTTTTACCTGGGAGATTTTTACTGAAAGGTCGACTTTGCTGCATCCAAATCAGCTTTTGCATATTTTATTAAGCTCGGCTAAAATGTAGCAAGTATTTTGAAAGAAGGTGACCAGAATCCTGTTCTTAGAAGCGTGACTTGTTGAAAACTAGATGGCTTGCTCTGAATCACAGCAAACTTTCAAAATCCTTTCTGAGTTTTGGATCTACAATGAATAACGTTCCTTTTGCTTAAATAAAAATACAATTTATTTGCTTGATTTTAGTAGGTTTTTTTTGTTTTGTTTTGGTTTATTTGGCCAATATGACAAAAAGTTTGGACACCTCTGGATTAGAGGAAGAAAAATAAAACAAAAAAACAGAACAGATTAACAATAGCTGCAACTCCAAAAACACATACTGACCTAAACCGGCGCGTTGGGCTGGGTATCGGGCTCGGCGTCAGACCGTTGCTGCTGACTAGTATTTGTAGCGAGGGAGAGAAACACTGCTGCTTGAGGGGAACGGGGAAAGAAACCCAAAAAACACAGTGATGAGGTCACCAGAGGTCTGCTAATTGGTTAAATTTTGCGTTTTAAAAGATGAAGACAAAAGAACTGTCGCGGTAGATTCTGGTAAAGACCGCGCACCTTTTTTCCTATTCCTCTGGTCGGGGACGGAGCAGGCGACACGGGCACAAAGTCGATCCGCTTCGGAGACGAAGACTTCTCCATGTCGTTGTCGCTCTGCGGACACAGCAGCACCAGATGCTGAAAGCAAGTAAATCCCCCGACGCAGAACGCCCTCCCACATTGGGGGGTACCAGGGCGCTGCAAGTTAAAAAGTCAAAGACTGTGGGAGTATTATACTACCGACTCAGCCTGAACTTGAAAGACCGGTGGCCCTGTTAACTCCCAAACGTTCATCTAGCACGCTTTTTACTCGTCCTCACCACATTCATACAGAGAGGACAAAAAATGGCCTGGGGCCAAAGCGTGCCTGCACCACACAAACACAGCTGCTGCTGACTCTGAGGAATGCCCCCCACCCAAAAAAACAAAACAAAACAAGAGCAGATCCACCACAACAACAAGGGTTAAAGTTTTTTGTTTTTTTTACCAGACTAAGGCTTTCCTCCCAAGAGTGGCTCATCTGCATGGCGACCTGAACTCCCCTGTGTGGACAAAAATATGCAAATCAGGTTTGTAAGCGTTTCAGGTGAGACTAATGTCTTCGTCCGGCCGCTGACGGGGGTCGTACCGCTCGTGAGCAGTTTCTCTGTTCATCAAGTCGACTCCCTCTTCCTGTAAAGACGAACAAGAAAAGCAATGACTATAAAAGTCAGTGTTCTACAACTGAAATAAAGTTGATTTTGTAAATTAAAATGCAGTCTGCAGACATCACTGCTGCCAGACTAAAAGCTTTCTAAAACAGAAGCTGAGCTATATAGGAAAAAATAAGATTAATAGTCAAAATACTCAAGTTTTCGACAATACTATGCAAATTCCATAACTTGGTGATACATTTTTCTTGAAAGAGACTTTTCTACTACTAAAAAGCAAAGTCTTCTCATTATGGAAGTTAACAGTGGTGATACTTACTTGTTTTATCTGGTGAAGCCTGGTGCTGGGCACGCGGATGGGGGATGAAGGGACCTGTAGCACAGTAAGGACATGTAGTGCTGTGGGACTCAGGCTTGCACTGCAGCAACATGACCGAGTTGCAGAAACGTACCATGTTGGGTCTGTTGACAACTGTGGTGCTGTTCCTGCGACAACGTAGGACCTCTCTCTGGAAGACTTGAGCGTTATCACTGCAATGACAAACGAAATGTGTCGGTCAGCCATCGCGCCAAAGTGGTAATGTCAACTCGTGTTGGGTTAGAAAGAGAAAAACTCATTCAATGAAAGATGTGTGATTTAGGTGGAGGAGGGGAAAAAATAAATAGGAAACTATTGCAGAACCTCAGTCCGTTAATCATGGGTGCACTGTTTGATCTCCTCAGGTGTCCATCGCTTTGGACTAAGGCAGCTGGGATTTCCAGGTCCAGCTCCATCTTTTCTTGTGGCATGACTCCGGAGTTGTTCATTCTGCTCGACAATGCTGCCCGTCACGGATTCATGAACCTGAAATGGCGGCCCAGCTCAGTAATGCTACATTACTGACCCTCGAACTATACCCGGCTTTACATGATTGAAATTAATTTTGGCCAAAATCAAACAAACTGAGGCGACATGAGCCGAGCCAACTAGCACAATGTTAGACGAGCCAGAGCGATATGCAGGGCCCCTTCCTCAACGTGACAAGTTAACAACGGTTTCTAACCATGACAGTGTTTTTATGCGCCCTTTATGCAGCTCCAATTACGCTGTTCAAATTCTGCCTGCGACGTTATGAGCAGTCAAAAACTTCCCAGATGGATGGTTAGCATGCCGTGGCTACATACTACACAATGCCCAGTAGCTGCTAGCTGCTGACCCGTTCAGTCTGCTGGTGCAAGGCGGCAGGGTCTCAGCGAAGAACCGAGTTATAACTACACTTTGCCTCCTAACACGAGCCAGGTTTAGCCAAACTAACCTAACAGTTGATTTATGTACAGCTTTAATGCTCCTGTAAATCTAATTTGGATAGCGTTAAAGGAACGACGCTGCTATGAAAAGATTATCATACCTCCTAGCTAGCGCAGCTCAGCTAGTGTTCCACTCATTTTCGCTACCCAGATGGTTGAGCTAGATAGCCGGAGAAGCTAACTAGCAACGTTAGCATTGAAGTGCCATCACTTATTCCTCTAAACGTTGTTTTCTTCCGCCAGTCTGCTAACCACGTCGGCTCGCAGAACTAACTAGACTCGGTCTACTAAGAATATTGCCCTTAGAATCAGCAGCATAATTTATATAGTTTCTGCTAGGTGTGTGCCGCCAAGAATGAACCAGAGTCCCAACAGATTATTACATTGAAGCTAGGTGTTAGCACGAAACTTCACGCCCCTTTCAACGTTAGCACGGCTGTCCAATGAAACCGTTCCATTTGCCGGTGTGACACCAAATACTGTGGGCTGAAAAAAAGAAAAAATGTTGGTGTCCCCATTTATGTAGCTAATAATCCTACAAAAATACAATAAATCAGAATACTCTTGTCAATAGCTGGAGAATTAAAAAATTACACATATTTTGTTGTTTCAAAGTTTAATTTTAAAGCAGGCACATAAGTTTTCTACGTTTAGTTTCATCTGAACTAATACCGCCAGTGTATTTTTGTTGCGAGAGACCAACATAAAGTAGCGCATTACTGTGAATTGGACGTTAGACGACACTTGGGTTTTCTTTCCCCCTTTTTAAAGATAAAAATCTGCAAAGTTGTATTTCGGCTCCAATGCATGCTTCATGCCACCATCAACATCATTATGGCGTGCTCAGGGTGAAATGCAGAGACTTTCTAACACCAGAGGTACAAAAATTATACTCAAGTAAGAATATTATAATATTCTTACTTGAGTAAGAATATTACTCAAGAATATTACTCAAGTAATATTCTTACTCAAGAATACTTTTTTTTATAGAAAGTACGGCTACTTTCTATAAAAATAGAAAGTAGCCAAATAAAAGTTAAAAAGTATTTGTTTTAAAGGCTACTCAAGTACTGAGTAACTGATTGTTGCCTCTGACTTTTTTTTTTTTTTCTTCTTTTGAAAGCAGAGTTCAGGTGTGTGTTTGGTCATTTTTTGGTTGAAACAAGCTTACTCTTCATTCAGTGAAGTTAACAGTGGGTCAGTACAGCACAGCAAAAACACTTCTAAAAGTAATTTTTTTTCCAAAAAGTTACTCCAGTAAATGCGACAAGTTACTACCCAACTCTGTCCACCATACATCAGGTTTTCAAAGCAGGCCAAAAACGTTTAAAAAATAAAATAACCTGATAAGAGTACCTTCTTACACAAATTTGCAGTCTTATTGGTTTCTGCCAAGCTTAGATGTGACCTCTCATATGTTCATCAATGGTTATTTTGTTTTATAACCCCAACATCGTAACCCACCACAACAGTAATACTTTTTTGCAAAAAAAAAAAAAAAAAAAATGCTTGGGACCTTTGAAAATCTTAAATAATTTATCAAGAGGGCAATAAAAGTTGAAGCTTTCAATAAGTTTTTTTTAAAGAGTCATTCATGAAGGGTATCCTGTAGCAGCCTTTGTTTCAGTTGTTTAACGGATGCCTCTGACTGAAGACATGCAGTCGTAGCATTAAGGTGCATTTTGACTATGTAATTAGAAACTATAACCCTTGAACAGAAGTGCACGAGTCACAGGAGGGGGGAAAACATTTAATTCTCTGTGCGGAAAAGTTCAGGACTACAGCAGACGTGAACAAGAACGTTTATTGTGACGTTAACCAAACAAGTACAATCTCAGACCCCGTTTAAAACCCCTTAACACTCACCCCCAGAAGCATCTCATCATTTTTCACCTGTAAACTTTAAAGGATGCTTCGCAGTATTTAAAGTCCCCCCATCTATTAAAAAAAATTAAAAAGAATTACAGGCAGTATATGGAGAAGAATTTTACAGTCCAACAGAGGGACATTTGATCTTGAGCATGCCCGTTGGGGACAACAGCAAACAGTTAGGACTCATTACAACAAGCAACGTTTCAAAGAAAGTCTGCACATATGAGTTCAGGTTTTGTTCAAGATGGACAAAAATGATTAAAAAAAAAAAAAAAAAAACATTCCAGAAATAGTTTTGTTCTCTGTAAGAGCGCCAACCAAACGGCTGCAGAAAGTTTCTGGTGAAAGCTGAGTTGCAATAAAAAGCAACGTTTCTTTTAAAACAGGAGGCTGAAAATCTTTTGGTAGCTCAATTGTCAACATTTACGCTAGCAGCATTTCCCTGAATAAATTACTCAATTAAAAAAGACAACATTAAAAAATATCAGTGTGGGAACATAAAAGCGTCATGCTAATTTGTGGTGGGCTCGTTTCTATCTTAAGGCAATCATGTGCAGGTGCGCGGCGATGGAAACAGAGCGGCAGGACCACCGCCTCGGCGTATCCTCTGGGACCCTGAGCAGGCTCAGCGTTCATTATGACACATGAAACAATCAAATACAAAATTAATTGCAAAGAGGGAAAAAAAATTTTACCATACATTTAAAAAAAAAAAGTGTACTGAAGTGCCTCTCATGCCTTGTACTTCTCCTTCCCTGTTTCACTAATTACGCAGATATGCTGAAATGGAAAAACAGGACCATAAATGTTGAAGCATATCAAACACATTTTTCCTATTTCTGAACACAAATGAAGCCACTAGGCTCCTTTTGTTTACATTTATTCAATACTCACGTTCAGATCTCTGAAGTACTCGTTGTAGTCTAAAGCGTATCCCACCACGAATTTGTCAGGGACCTCAAATCCTACAACTACAGCAAAAAAAAGAAAAAAAAAAGAAAAGAAAGAGAAAAACAATTTTTCTCAACTGTGGCTAGTATAACAATTGACACATTATTGAAAGTTTATGATGTACAATTTAACAGGAAAAAAAACAACTTACAAATTATTTAGATGAACTGATTTTAGAAAAACAGGGGAACTAAACTATTGTATCTGTTCACATTGTGGAATGTAAACCCATAACCGTCTGAGTAAACCTCAGACAGCCAGTGGAAGTGAATTCAGGGTGTAAATGTGTGAGCTGTGCTTCCCCTCACTCGTACGTTTGTAGTTTTACAAAAGGTCTGCAAGGTTTAAGACATTTAAATAAATGAAACTGACAATAAATGATGTCAGCACAACATAAAACTGAAAATATATATATTTTTTAAATATCCAATCTTAAAGAAATCTACAATCCTCTCCTGTTTTCCAGGTTTTCCAAGGACATCCTGGCATTCCCAAGCCAGCTATGAGATTCATTTGTGACGGCAAAACTTCAAGACTTTATGTGCAACATTTCTAAACTGTAATCTAGTTTGGTTTTTTTATCTTGCTTTTGAAATAAATGGCTTCCTCTCCTCTGAGCGGCCTTTCAGTCCATGTCCGTACAGAACATCATATCAGAACATATCAGTCACCATCTTAAAAAGGCATTTTGCTTTTGTCCCTAATGACTAATAACACAGTGATCTTACTTCATGTACATTTCTAAATTTGAAGAAAGGAATTAATGAACCCTTTTTCACCTGCATTTTTGTTCACATTACAGATCCAAGAAGCAGATCTGGCTGCTACGCTGATCTTCTTCCCTCAGCTGTGTTTCAGAAACTAAATTGCGATCCAATATGGTTTACATAAGGATTGGAGCAAACTTTCATTTTTAATCACTCTGCTGTTTGGGATCTTCACTGCCAGACAATCCTTAATGTTGGGAAAATTAACTAGTCAGTGTTACGGCACTATACGACAAATCCTCACATTTCCAAACTGTAGCAGCTGAGTGAAGAAAGTCACTTACAGTCCGGTCGGTAGCCGACACTCCGCGGCGTTCTCTTCACCAGCAAACTAAGAGCAAAGCACCAATCATTAGAAAGAAGAAACTGCTGTGCAGTTTACACGTGTTGGCATTAAAAGGAAGTTGTTCGGGTACCTTGCTACTTTAACCATTTGGGGATTGTACTGTTTGAGTAGCTGCAATAACGTCTTCATTGTCTTGCCCGTGTCAATTATATCCTGAGACAAAGCATGAGAGGAGCTTATGAAAGTGGGATCAAAGAGGCCCTTTGCTTTATTACAGGATGAGAGAAGGAAGACGATACCTCCACAATTAGGACGTTCTGTGCAAAAGAGAAAAAGAGAATGTTAATGTTTAATCACGTAATTTGCGTCCGTATCAATCTGTTGTGGCAATGTGATGCTACTTGCTACAAGTGGAGTCAGTGAAAATGTGTGGAAGCATACAAAAATTATATGGATGTATTAAACTAAAACATACGGCCACGTTACACACATGACAAGTAGTTTATTTTGGTAAGAGAGATTTTAAAGTGGTGAACATTTCAAGCAAATTTGTAATTTCAAATGTAGATTTTTGAAATGCATTCTCCTCTTTCACTAGATTTACTAATTTGTGAACACTTGTGTCAGAATTATGCTATAAGCAGCACAAAGATATACTGAATACTGATGTTAGACAAAATCAAAGTTCATAATTCTAGTCCTTTCATACAAAGGGAACGTATACAAACGTAAAAGAGCTGATGGGCAAATTATACAGATGTGCATCAAAACTAAAGAAGACCCTGTAGATTTTTCTCTTCACCACAGAATTATTTGATCCTTTTCATGCGCTTTACACAAAATAAAAATAAAATACATAAGGGTTTGTTCTGCTGATATGCTCACTTGAGAAATGTGATCAGGTATCGGGATGAAATTTGTGGTTCGATCGTGAGAAAATGTTTGAAGGCTATAATCATATGCATCGTATTGTACATTTAGAAATGGTAACAATAATCCTGGGCAGTGCCAGAAGTGCTTTTAATGCTCTCTTCTCCATACTGACCTTTCCTGTCAGAGTTGACAGATCGTCTCCTCCGATCACTTTGATTTCACCGGTCGACTGGTCGTTCTGTAAGGATGAGAAGACTGGTGAGCTAACTGAGTTACCATGATGTCACAGAAGCTGGAAGTACAAGCAAGAATCAGTGCTTGTCCAGGTTGGAACTGTTTAAAACTTTATCCACTATGTTGATAAAACATAAATGTTGTTGTAACTCATTTAATTAGAGTATTGTTAAAATACATTAAATAAATTGAAGTTCCTGGGGCTGGCAAAGAGCAATCCAATCTGTTGCCTCAAAATAATGCTGTAGGGTAGGACAAGGAAATACTCATTTATAACTTTAAGTAGAATTTAATTTGAACCCGCTTTACTGTGGATCCATTTGAATACAGGGCATTAAAAAGAGGAACACAGCATAATAATGATAATACTTAAATGGTAAAAAAAAATTGGAAAGCTATCAACATCATCCCACAAATTGACCTTTTAATACATCACTAAAACCATATAAAATTCTGCAGAGATTTGTATGAATTTCTACAATCTCAGTGTTAATGTTTTACGCTTGCTATTATCTGAATTACTTTACGACACAGAGACTGTGTAAATCCTAAATGACAAAGGTTCATTTGAATTAGTCAGTACAAGGGATCCTTGGTTTTATGTTGGAGATGTTCTATTTTTTTTTTAGTTTTTGGGGGGGTCAAATGACTGAACATCAAATGAAAACGTGTGATTTTGATTGTGAGTTTATTTCATGCTGCAATTTATTTTAATCACACAGTTTCTGTGCAGCCTCCTGGGAAACCCTGGGCGACCTTGACCAGGCCACAGATGAGCTGGAGAAACACCTCATGTACTGTTTGCAATCATGATTCGAGCTGCTACAGATGTAAACAGCGGCTAACAAAGGGTGAAGTGATACATTACACAGTAACTCTTGAGGCGAATGAAGTCCACTGTCATGGGGATGGAGCGGTCACTGTTCCTGTTCAGGGCTTTGATGTAGTCCAGCAGGTCTGCAAAAAACTTGTAACCCCCTTTAAGAACGCAAAGGGCCACGATGTGGTGGCCCCCCATTTCTTTCATGATCTCCCTCGCCAGCCTCTCTGTCCTGAGATAACGTGGGGGGGGAGACGGAAACACAGTCAGGATTATCAGCTCCGTTTTGTGCAACCGTCAGCTAAAAATCCTCTTTATTTTCCACTTGCTACAATAGGAACAGCCGTCTTATCTAAAGGGGGACAAAATCTTCTTAAGATATGAGAAACTGTATTTGTGCCTTGCAATCGTAGTCTCTCCTCTTAAGCAATGAAATGTTTTATGTTTCAATCACAAACTTCCCTGACAGAAAAGTCCAGCAAGAAAAAAAAGATACATAGAAGATACAAGATTAAATAAGAAAATTTAAGACCTGTGATTATCAAATTAAAGGCCATCTTATTTTTTTTAAATGAGACATTCTGACATTTTAAGGCCTTAATTTTAGATACACAAATGTAAGACTTTTTAAGGATGCTAATTAAGAGTAAAACAAGACAAAGTACAAATACATGGCAACATTTTTAAATTTCTAAAACTATTGAAAAAGATTTTCCTTCTGCTTCTAAATTACCCACTAACTTCTATTGGTTCGTCTTAACATCCCAACAAAATACATGAAAGTTTACGAAAGCTTCATAACAATGTATAAAAACTTTATGTGGTATGTATAAAATTACAAGGCATTTTGTATTTAAGTTTGCAGATTTACCTCTGAACATAGCTGATGAATATAAATTACAATATAGATGAGAAATACTGTAACCTGATGTTGCAAAAAGAGAAACTACGTGATAGACTGATCTCTGTGACAGACAGGCTCTGCAGAGAAAACCAGATAAACACTCTGATCTGAATTCTTTTGATAGGTAACACAGAAATTCAGGATAAACTTGAGGAAGGAAACTAAGTGGAAGTAAGTCAAATGGTTGGCTCAAGGGGAGATTGTCACACTGTTGGAAACAAACATTTTAAAGATGCTCTGTCTTCTTGTTCTGTGCAAAAGGGGCTATAATCTAACCCACGATTTAAACAGAACAGCCACCTTTAGTGACCTTGTAATTTACCGCTTTCATCGACTAGTTTTGAGTCGTTACGAACAAGGTGACCCACCTGTCCAAGATGAGTCCGTGAGGAATATAAACCCTCTCCAAGTCGGCAGCGTAGTGCTTGGGTATACAGAAAAGATCCAAGTCGTAACCCTGCTCCTCATCGCTAATCTGGAAACAAACAAACAAAAAAACAAACCTAAGAAATGCTTCAAATCTTTGAAGTTGTTAAGCTATAAAGATCATCCACCAGACAGAGGGCAGTAAAACCTTCTGTTTTACAACTCAGACAGTTTATCAATCACTAAATAGGACACGACCCATCTGTTAAAGATTAGCAAGTAACCGCGATCCCCCCCACCCACGGCGCTCAAAAAGAGGGCCTTACATTTCCAGACATCCTTCTACCTGCTCACTGCTCAGGGTTTACCTTTGAAGAAACACTTTGTCCCAGAGAAAAACATGTCACCAGCTCTGCCGTATTCTCTGAAAACTCCTATGATGCTTCAATCCTTTTCCAGTTACATTTTAGAAAATTGAATTTCCTGTCGGGGTCAATCGGTAGACAGAATAACTGGAATCATGTGACACTGGGAAGCGAGTGTGAGAATGATTGGATGCGGTTCTGCAAAGACGCAGAGTGGAAGTGGAAATCTTTAAAGCATATTAGCTGATGCAGCTCCTAGTAGACCAGATGGTGCATGCTAAACTACAACGGCTGCAGATCATATTTGGATTAAACCCATTCAGCTACAAAATATAACGACTGATTAACCCAGATGTTCTGATGGTCACATGACCTGAGATTATATCTACAATCATTGATCTGAGGTCACAAGAGCAAAAAAACTTTAAGTTTGTGGTTATACTGAGAAACTTGGTGCCATTTTAAATCTGGTGTGGCAGAGAAAAAGTCCTGTGTCTACAGATTTGAAGCAAACTTGCTGTTCAACCAGTGGTTCTGTTTTGCTTTCCAGCACTAATCACAATCTGAACTGCACTGACCATTTCTTGGAAAAAAGAGAACTGGATATTTGTTTGACTTTCTTCCAGCGTGGGGCTCGTCACAGCGCCCTAAATCAAATATTACCGAATGATCTCATCCCACACGGCAGGACTTTGTGCTCTGAAAATAAAACTACACGGTGCATTGCATGTCGAAAGCATTTCTGATCCATAGCATCCTGAATAGAGTTCAGCCCGAAGCAAACTTTCAAAGACAAAACGAGCCCTGATTCAACCAAAGGGGCGTACGAGTTCAAATATCTCAAGCTCAGAGAACTACCACAGTATTAGCTGAAAATTTATGTTTATGTAAGTACGCCAAGGCAGGGTTTAGCCCAGAAATCCTGCTAAGCTCGGTGCGCTAGGCAGTCATTCATGCCATGTTTTTGAGTTGAAAAATGTTTAAAGTTGACATGAAAATATCCCTTGTTAGTATTACATTATTGGAAGACTGGACGATTAATACCCAAACACCAACTATAAAGTCTTATAAAAGGCAATGACTAAAAAAAATATGAATAAATGAATAAAATAAAAATGACAGATTTTCTGTATTTTACCAGTTGATCAACAAACTGAGATGATCAAAGACGTCGATTAAGATCTCTGGATGACTTCTTCCAGAGATGTCTTCATAGCTTTAAGTTATGAAGACATGCCTGTGAAGTTGTTTTTCTATTGGTTTCCATGTGATGTGTGTCTAAAGGTTTCCAGGGGCATCCTGTCCAATGCCCCAGAAGTCAATGTGTTCATAGTTTTCCTCCAATCAGAAGTCAGTATGCTGCATTTTGATCAACTCGCTGACTGTTCAGCATTTTTTTTCTCTAGTTGTGTGGGATGAAGTGATTTACAAAGCAGTGGTAAAAACAATAGAAAAACAAACTTAAAAACTTAAAACTGCATTTTAACTGTTTAGAAAGTATAGAGAGAATTAAAATAATCAGTATTAGATGCATTGGAGTCAGTAACCATTGTCTGGATTGTCTTTATTTAGGGTGAAAACACGAGAATGCCGCTGCACATCAATAATTACAATACCTCGGTAAATTATCCTAATTATGAACCAAATGCACCTACTTGACTATTAAATAAAGTCTTTCTGAAGCACGTCCCTCTGTTACTAGGTGTAACCATATAAACAGTCTGATTAACTCTAAATAATTGTGTAATTGCACAATTACAGCTGCCGACAAGCGCAGAGACCCACACGTTTTGTTTTGCGACTTTACGCTGAACCGTATCCTATCTACGTCACCGAGCTGAACGTGGAGAGCGCGTGCCTGTCACCAGCCGCAGGCCACGCTTTTAAGGATTGAAAATGAAAGGACAGATCGTTAAATTGTACAATGCAGTACACATTCAGTGAACTCTGAGTCTCAGTACAGTGTGCTACTCCCCTGGGCTCAAATAGCGGTAACACCCGAACGCCTACCGTCTCTCATTTCACTAGAGGGAAGAACTCACCACAACACAGGAGCTCGATGTCGCCATGTCAGTGTCGGTCCCCCAGCGTTGAAATGCTAAATGTTCTACCTTGGTCTTCTGCTAGAGAAGACAACAATTTTATGCTCGGGTTAATTTCACAGTCTCGTCAGACACACATGGAGGTGAGTGAACCGTAACAGAGCTCGTGTCTTTCCGGAGCTTCTCTGTAGCTTTGCTACCCGTCCTGCGCAGGAGCCCCGCTAGCCAATCACGTGTGAAGAAAAGACTCGGCCCCGCCCCTTTGCGGCGAGGTTGGGGAGGGTTTCACGAGCTAAAGAGCGCGAGGCAGCTTTGACTTTCCAGCTGCGCGAGGTCAACAGATTTCCGAGTTGTTTTCATGAGTAAAATGGTAGATGTGGTTTTAAATAAAACCACATCTTTGATTCGTCTGACCAGATTACAGAAGCGGTTAAAGCCTCTTCTATAAAATCCCACTGCAAACATAATGCATAGTCGAAATGAACATATTTAAAAGATGTAAAATCAACATATTTTAAAAGTAAGAAGCATTAATCCATAAGACTCAGACCCTGTATAAGCAAGAAGCACTTACACATAGGAATACAGTTAAGTTAAAACACAAAGTATGTTATAAATTAGCATAATTACATACACAAATTAATCGAGTCAAAACTATTTAACCATATAAGCTCGGGTAATTGTGCTGTTCGTGGCTGTACCTTAATACAACCCCTGGCAAAAAGTATGGAATCACCAGTGTTGGATGAGCAGTCATTCAGACATTTCATGCTGTAAAACAAA